TGTCTCATGGGTCCCTGTACGGCCTCCCATTGCTGCTGTCTTCATCGCCACACTCTGCCATGTGCCACTTTCAGGTCTCCTCACACTGCTGGTGTGTTCCATTTTTTGTCATAGGGTGCTGGCAGATTACGGGCCTCCCATTGCTGCTGCCAGGCCCGTAATCTGCCATGGGCCCCAGTACCGCCTCCTCATGCTGCTGCCAGGTCCAGAGTCTCTCATGGGTCCCTGTACGGCCTCCCATTGCTGCTGTCTCCATCGCCACACTCTGCCATGTGCCACTTTCAGGTCTCCTCACACTGCTGGTGTGTTCCATTTTTTGTCATAGGGTGCTGGCAGATTACGGCCTCCCATTGCTGCTGCCAGGCCCGTAATCTGCCATGGGCCCCTGTACCGCCTCCTCATGCTGCTGCCAGGTCCACAGTGTCTCATGGGTCCCTGTACGGCCTCCCATTGCTGCTGTCTCCATCGCCACACTCTGCCATGTGCCACTTTCAGGTCTCCTCACACTGCTGGTGTGTTCCATTTTTTGTCATAGGGTGCTGGCAGATTACGGGCCTCCCATTGCTGCTGCCAGGCCCGTAATCTGCCATGGGCCCCTGTACCGCCTCCTCATGCTGCTGCCAGGTCCAGAGTGTGTCATGGGTCCCTGTACGGCCTCCCATTGCTGCTGTCTCCATCGCCACACTCTGCCATGTGCCACTTTCAGGTCTCCTCACACTGCTGGGTGGGTTCCATTTTTGTCATAGGGTGCTGTATGGCCTCCCATTGCTGCTGCCTCCACCGCCACACTGTGGCTCCACACTCTGGTTTTGGCCCCGTGACTGCCCAAATGAGTGAGGTGTGCGGTGATTCTAAGATCGACGGCATTCATCTGCATGTCATACTGACTGACAGTATTATTTCTCTTCCCCAGCAGACTCCAAGGGCATTTAAATTAAAGGTACAGTGTTCTGCACTAATATGAAGGCTCTCTGAAGCCTAGAAACACCCTTTTATAAGTTAAATTCGTAGCGAATATATTCGCATCAAATCGAATTTATTCCTCGAATTCGCCGAATCAGCCAAATCGAATTTTTGAATACTTCGCTCATCTCTAATTATAGTAAAAAAAAAAACGTTGTCAATTTGACCCCATAAACTATTAAAAAAAATCAAAGGCGCGTTCCAAAATGAAAATGTTAAAACAAAATTCTTCTGCCGTGTGGTCAGCGTACTTCCCCAGTGCCTTACTATCTGAGTCTTTTTTCTAGCCTGGACCCCCTAAGGACCTCCGGAAAAATACTAAGCAGCAAGAGCACAAATGAAGTCGCCAAGCATAGGCTGAGAGATAAGTCAATGATGTAGAAATATTTATTAGGACGCAGCGTGACGGGTTCCTGGCTGGAATATGCAGCAGGGATAATCCACAGGGAATAGCAGAAGTTAAATGGCAATATCCAAACCTTTCAACATCAATATACAGAAAAGATAGAGAAGGCAACGGAAATTCGAGAGGCTTTCAGCAATAATAGGTTAGCATCTCTTGTTTCTGTAAAAAACCAGCACTTGGAAGGTTTCCAGATTTTCGTAGTAATATGTGTATTGAAAAGAAGTACTTAAATTCTGCTTTCTAATCTAATGTCTTTGTTACATTGATGATTGGTACCTGGTTAGCATGTTGCCGAGAAATGCAGCTGCCTTTTATGACCGATTGTGGACTTTATAAAGACTAATTACGCAGGTTCTACAACACCATAAATTGCTATCATTTAAATTGTGCCGTCATCCAGGCTTAGTCACACCTGTTGGGCAAATCGCCAACTGTTTTGCTATCTATTGTTGGCTTTACCAGCAGAATGATTCTTAGGGGGCAATTCAATTATACATTATATTGCCAAAAGTATTGGTCGGCCTGCCTTTCCACGCACATGAACTTTAATGGCATCCCAGTCTTAGTCCGTAGGGTTCAATATTGAGTTGGCCCCGCCCTTTTCAGCTATACCATCTTCAACTCTTCTGGGAAGGCCGTCCACAATGTTTAGGAGGGTGTCTATGGGAAGGTTGGATCATTCTTCCAGAAGCGCATTTGTGAGGTCAGGCACTGATGTCGGACGAGAAGGCCTGGCTCACAGTCTCCGCTATAATTCATCCCAAAGGTGTTCTATTGGGTTGAGGTCAGGACTCTGTGCAGGACAGTCAAGTTCCTCCACCCCAAACTCCCTCATAGATTGTATTTATGGACCTTGCTCTGTGTACTGGCGCACAGTCATGTTGGAACAGGAAGGGGCCATTTCCAAACTGTTCCCACAAAGTTGGGAGCATGAAAGTGTCCAAAATGTCTTAGTATGCTGATGCCTTAAGAGTTCCCTTCACTTCCAACCCCTGAAAACAGCCCCACACCATAATCCCCCCTCCACCAAACTTTACACTTGGCACAATGCAGTCAGGCAAGTACCGTTCTCCTGGCAACTGCCAAACCCAGACATGTCCATCAGATTGCCAGACAGAGAAGCGTGATTGATCACCCCAGAGAACACGTCTCTACTGCTCTAGAGTCTAGTGGCGGTGTGCTTTACACCATGGCATCCGGCGCTTTGCATTGCACTTGGTGATGTAAGGCTTGGATACAGCTGCTCAGCCATGGAAACCCATTCCATGAAGCTCTCTACGCACTGTTGTTGTGCTGATCTGAAGGCCACACCAAGTTTGGAGGTCTTTAGCTGTTAACTCTGCAGACAGTTGGAGACTTCTGCACATTATGCACTGACCCCGCTCTGTCATGTGACATGGACTACCACTTGGTGGCTGAGTTTCTGTTGTTCCTATTTGCTTCCACTTTGTTATAATCCCACTAACAGTTGAGCGTGGAATATTTAGTAGCCAGGAAATGTCACGGATGGATTTATTGCACAGGTGGCAACCTATCACGGGACCACGCTTGGAGTCACTGAGCTCCTGAGAGCGACCCATTCTTTCACAAATGTTTGTAGAAGCAGTCTGCATGCCTAGGTGATGATTTTATACACCTGTGTCCATGGAGGGGATAGGAACACCTGAATCCAATGATTTGGAGGGCGGGGCCAATACTTTTGGCAATATAGTGTATCTAAAGACATTTTTGCTCTTTAGTTTTGGATAGAATGGGGCAACACAGTGGCTTAGTGGTTAGCCTACTGCCTTGTAGCACTAGTGGCCTGTGTTTAAATCCCAGCCACACCTTACCTGAATGGAGCTTGCTTGTGCTCCTGTACTTTTGTGGTTTGCTGGAAGGCAAAGAAGGCAAAGAATTTTTAACCTTAACTAGCTCCCACCCGGCCTATTGTAATATGACGGGCGGTACTTTTGTAGTTTCGGGTGGACGTCATATGATGTCCTCACGCAACAGCCTCTGTCACTGGCTTTGTCCGATGGATGACTGCTCACTGTACTGGCCCACTGACGGTACCATGTGATCACTGTGACCAGCCACAGCAGATCGTATGACAGTTGTAAACAATGTATGGTTTCCTTTCATGCTTTTCATTGCTTACAATTGTTTTGCTAGCTGTAATTGGACACAGTGATCATCTGGTACAGACAGAGCCAATCACAACCCATTTGTACCATGTGATTAGCTGTGGGCCAATCACAGGTAATCACAACAATACATACTTAATGAATCAGTTTCATTCAGTAAAAATGGTTGTTTATACCAGTGAAGCTCACTGGTAAAAGCATTCGTAATGTGTAAAAATAATAATCTAAAAAAAAACTGATTATTTGCCCAGAGTAGAGTGTTACTATGGTAACACTGTATTACTCTGAACACAGGGGTAAGGAAAAAATCATTAAAATAAAGTAACAAAAAAGAAAAAAAAAAAAAAGAAAACAGTTGAAAACAAAAGTTTTTGTTGTTTTTTTTACATGCTGTCACCAGTCCCTGACCAGTTATATGATGATGCTGTACTGAACTGGTGACAATATGTAAAAAAAAATTGTGAACAAAAGTGTTTTGATTTCTTTATTTTTCCAAATCCATAACAAAAAATTACAACTTAAAAAAACTCACCATGCCTCTTACTAAACACCTTGGGCTGTCTACTTTCCAAAACGGGGTCCTTTGGGGGTATTTGTACTCTCCTGGCATTTGTGGGCCTCAAGAAATGAGATCAACCGTCAATACATCAAATTTTCAACATATACCATTGTTTGCGGACTCTATAACTTTCCTACCAACTAAACAACATACACTGATTTGGGCTATTTTCACCAAAGAAATGTAGCAGGATACATTTTGACCTAAACTAATGAAGAAAGATTATTTATTTTTGCAAACTTTTTAACAGAAATGAAGAAAAACACATTTTTTTCCAACGTTTTGCTTTTTTTTCCCATTTATTTAGCAAAACATTAAAAACACAGTGGTAATTAAATACTACCATACGAAAGTTCTATTTGTGTGGGAAAAAAATGATAACAATTTCATTTGGGTACAGTGTTGCATGACCGCGCAATTGTCATTCAGTGTGACAGCGCTGAAAGCTGAAAATTGGCCTGGGCAGGAAGGAGGGAAAAGTGCCCGTTATTGAAATGGTTAATGCATACTCTGCTCATGCTCTAGTCAAAATGTAAAAAAATAAAAGTCAGCAGCTACTAAAACTGTTTAAAAACCCAAAGGTGCCAATCCTTAACGGGGAGCGAGGGGCGAGGCCTTAAAATGGAATTTCCCCTTTTGAGTCGAGCTCCGTTTCAAGGTAAAAAAACCTCTCCCCACCCCCCAGCCACCCCATATACTTACCTGAGCCTGAACTCGATCCAACAATCTCCACGTGAAGAGAGGCTCTGTTTGCTTTCTTCTTTCTCAATGACTCAGAGACAGCAGCAAGAGCCATTGGCTCCTGCTGCTGTCAATCACAGCCAGTGATGAGGGAGTGAGGGTGGAGCCAAGTTTTGCTGGGTCAATAGATGCAAACAGAGAAACTCGGGAGCGAGTGCCTCCATAGCAAACAGTTTGCTATGGAGCAGGGGCGGACTGACAACTCATGGGGCCCCCGGGCAATAGGGGATCATGGGGCCCCTGTGTCCTTGCCCAAACTCAAAAAAGCCTATGAAAAAGGTACCAGGGCATCTCATGGGGCCCCCTACTGACCCCGAGCCCTCGGGCAGTGACCCAGTTTCCAAATAGTCAGTCCGCCCCTGCTATGGAGACACTCGGCGGAAAGAAGGAGCTAGGAGTCCCGGGGGGACCCAAGAAGAGGAGAATCGGGGCTGCTCTGTGCAAAAATATTGCACATAGCAGGTAAGTATAGCATGCATGCTATTTTAACCCCTTGGTGCCTGCACCTCCCGGCCCTTTAAAGGTTCCAGAAGCCGGGAGGCGGGCGGGGTTTTGGGGTCATGTGACCGCCGTGAATCGCTGTCGAAAGAGGAGATTGGGACCTTTCCATGAGTACCAAACGTGTGTGCTGGGAGCGTGCAGGTTAGCGCGCTCTCAGCACATTTTTTTTTGTAATAGAACGCAAATGTGATGCCGCTTGGCGTCTAGGCCCAGACGCTGGGAGGCCGCACATTTGCGTTCGGCCAGCGCCACGAGGTTGAAGAAAAAAAAATATGGTTAGAATCACTTTGTGTCCCTAGTATATGCATGTGAGATGGAGATCTTAGATCATAAGCTCCTTGAGGGCGGGCACTGACATATCCCATAACGATAGAGCCGGGAATGGCCAAAATGCCTGACTTGCTTCTCATCAGGAAATACAATAGGAAGTGACTGAAGAGCTCTCCAAAGGGTGGGAAGTCTTTTTTTTCCCCCCCACTTTAAGACTCTTTTGGACAGGTGGTAAGCTTACTGCCCTCTGAAAAGCGATGCAATTCACTTTTCAGAAGGTGGTATAGCAGTGGCTAGTTGTCATTCAGCAGGCTCTACTCCTAAGAAGTCATTTTACATTCCAAGAATGTGCCACAACAGCGAGGCAAATGCTTGAGGTGCAGCCCCATGGATCTCAATGGGCGAGTTTGACAGGTAGTGCCCGAGTTAAAATTGCCATTGCCATGAAGCAAAGCATTGCAGCCATGGAATGTGTACAGCCCTGTCCAGGGGCGGACTAACAACTCATGGGCCCCCGGGCAATAGGGGATCATGGGGCCCCTGTGTCCTTGCCCAAACTCAAAAAAGCCTATGAAAAAAGTACCAGGGGCATCTCATGGGGCCCCCTACTGACCCCGGGCCCTCGGGCAGTGCCCGAGTTTCTAAATGGTCAGTCCGCCCCTGTCAGAGTGAAATGTTACAATTCTGATGGATAGCTGCAGGCAGGGTCAGTGCTAGATTATTTTGCGCCCTAGGCAAGATCAGCTACTGCGCAAGATTGCGCCCCCCTCCCCCCCAAAAAAAAAAACAAAAACAAAATAAATAATTACAAATTTTAAAAACAGTAGAAAATAATAAATCATGAAACATGAAACTGCTAAATTTCTTTTATTAATAATAATATGCCACCGGCACCAATATTAAAGACAAAAAAAACACTGGCCCTAGACACCTGGCATCTTCCTCTGTCCTTTCTTCCTCCCCTCTGCCGCTTCTCCTCTCAGCTGGAGGATCATTCATGATGTGGCGGCGTCACACACAGAGGGAGAGTGCTGGCCTGTGCTGTGCCCAGGTGCCCCTAGGTGGCAGTGTGTCCTAGGTGGCCGCCTAGTTTGTCTAGTGGAAGGACCGGCCCTGGCTGGAGGGCTGTAAAACTGCAACTTACAAAATAGCCATTGGTCTCAGTGAAAGTTTTCAAGACTAATCAAGAGAGTGGAACTCCAAGACTTGCAGCAAGATTGCAACTCCTCTAACAGGGATACGCCTTCAGATCACTTTACAGAGGCATTTGATAGGCAATAGGTTGCCTCCTCATCGCTTGTTTAATCGTGCAAATGGCGCATCACTGTGCCACAACCAAATGCATTGCACACCATTGTTGGGCATTCATGGCACAGTCACATTCACTTGAATGAGTCACGTTCAGTGGTGCTATATACTGGTGATATGAGGGGAGGCGGATCATTTTTCTCACTGCAAATGAACACCCCAACCTATGTAGCTTGAGAATGGACAGTTGGCGGAGCAGTAAAAGCGCAGCCTAAATCTGTGAATATACCACCACCCTACCGCAAGTTCAAATGAGCCCCATAGCAGAGACACAGTAAGCAACAGAAACTTGGCAGGGGTTCTAATCCCTCACCATTCTATGCAAACTACAGAAAATGTTTTAGATACACTTCAAAGAGAAATTCCACCCCCCCCCCCCCCCCCCCCTTACCTTTTTTGCTAGATTATGTACAAAAACTATATATGGCCAACAAGTTTTTATTTATTTCAGGCACTTATATAGCGCCATCAATTTTACACAGTGCTTTACATATATATTGTACGTCACATCAGTCCCTGACCCTCAAGGGGCGTACAATCTAAGGTCCCTAACTCACATTCATACATACACATACTAGGGCCAATTTAGACAGGAGCCAATTAACCTACCAGCATGTCTTTGGAGTGTGGGAGGAAACCACAGGAAACCCATGCAGGCACAAGGAGAACATGCAAACTCCAGGACAGGGGCGGACTGACAACTCATGGGGCCCCCCGGGCAATAGGGGATCATGGGGCCCCTGTGTCCTTGCCCAAACTCAAAAAAGCCTATGAAAAAGGTACCAGGGGCATCTCATGGGGCCCCCTACTGACCCTGGGCCCTCGGGCAGTGCCCGAGTTTCCAAATGGTCAGCCCGCCCCTGCTCCAGGAAGGTGGTGCCATGGTTGGGATTCAAACCAGCAACCGTAGTACTGCCAGACAGAAGTGCTAACCATTTAGCCACTGTGCTACCTAAATGTTTTCTTCTAAATATACAGAAAGAGCAGCAGCACTATCCTGCAAAATATGCATTGTGTGTATATCAAGGTCATGGAGACAACTTTTATATAGTACAAATGAAGAAAAATCACCATAAAAGCATAAATAGAGTAAAATAAAGATAACGTCCACCAAGTGCTTTAGAAATTAAACATTAAAAGCCCATAAACATCCAATAATCCACAATCTTGAGATATATATAATCTATATATATCTCAAATCTTTTTAAACTTAGCTTCTCCACACAAGTGCTTAGTACCACCAAAACCTGATAGGGCACTCCAGGGCACTTTCACCAAATTTATATGCCTCACATTTGCATAATCGGCATAACAAGTATATTATCCTTAATTAATTCATTCCATCACCGGGACCCTGCAGATCAGTCCAATATAAAAAACCCGCCAAACTCTTGGTCCCTCCCACACTGGGGTAGGGTTGCTCCATGGTTCGGGATGCTGGACAGGCCACAGTGGCCTAGCAACAAGTGTTTCACCTCCCAAGAGCATTCACCCTTGTCAGCAGCTTGAACGTGGCATGGTTGTTGGTGCCAGACGGGCTGGTCTGAGTATTTCAAAAACTGCTGATCTACTGGGATTTTCACACACAACCATCTCCAAGGCAATCAAGACTCATCAGATCAGGCAACATTTTTCCAATCTTCTATTGTCCAGTTTTGGTGAGCCTTTGTGAATTTTAGCCTTCGTTTCCTGTTCTTAGCTGACAGGAGTGGCACCCGGTGTGGTCCTCTGCTGCTGTAGCCCATGTGCTTCAAGGTTCAGGTGTTGTGTGTTCAGAGATGGTATTCTGCATACATTGGTTGTAACGAGTGGTTTTTTGAGGTGCTGTTGCCTTTCTATCATCTCAAACCAGTCTGCCCATTCTCCTCTGACCTCTGACATCAACAAGGCATTTATGTCTACAAAACGTTCACTGGATATTTTCTCTTTTTTGGACCATTCTCTGTAAACCTTAAAGTTAGATGAAAATCCCAGTAGATCAGCATTTTTTTTTTAAATACTCCGACCAGCCCGTCTGGCACCAACAACCATGCCACTCTCAAAGTTACTTAAATCCCTTTCTTCCCCATTCTGATGCTCCGTTTGAATTTCAGCAAGTCATCTTTGTGACGGACGCAGGATCGCTGCCACCAATATGCGACAATCCCACGATCGCTGTCACCAATCTGTCATGAACGCGGCATCAGACCCCAGCCCTTCTCACCAAACTCGTGACCGAAGGACTAGCCAATCTAAAACTGCGCTGTCACGTGCGTAACAATGCCACTCAGCTGCACCCTGCACAACGATTTTCCAGCTAATTGGACCACAATCGATGCACTGGCAGCCTGAATGCGATTGTTACTGGGTCAGGTTAATTACGCAATTAACCCTTCACACTGCCACCTCCTCCTTTTTGTACAGAGAAAGAGGAAACTCGGCGATATCAGCTATAACTCTATAATGGTTGAGATAATCGTCTGTATAAAACGGTCATAACACAGGCCTGTTATACAGAGGGTTAAACAAACACAGTAGCGTCTCTTTTAGAGGCAGGAATTCGTAAATTGCGATAAAGCGCTATAGAAACAGTTCAACACTTTCAGAAGGAAAGGTTTATTACTAAAAGGTCAAACGGGTGCAATAAAAATATTTACAGAAAAAGATGTAACTAAGATATATATATATATATATATATATATATATATATATATATATATATATATATATATAAATATACAGAGACCAACAGCACAGCAAAGAGATATCAGAGAGAGGTGAAAGGGTTAAGGTACTTGCCAAAGTCCTGGGTTAGCAGATCCAAGTTTCAGAGTGAAAGGGCACGGGTCTCCCCGGGTACTGATGTTAAAATGGGAGACATCTTCAACTTCCCTCTCTTAGGCCTGACAGCCCAATTTGTAGTTCCCCAGCAGGGGGTGTCTCTGAAGTCAAGGACCAATACCCCGTTTAGGGCGTGGAGGTCTGGGCGGATACCTCATCTAGAGCCAAAATCTCTCTTAACTCATATTTTGGCCCATAGCTTTCCCAAAGCTGACGATACAGTCAGGTCCATAAATATTAGGACATCGACACAATTCTAACATTTTTGGCTCTATACACCACCACAATGGATTTGAAATGAAACGAACAAGATGTGCTTTAACTGCAGACTGTCAGCTTTAATTTGAGGGTATTTACATCCAAATCAGGTGAACGGTGTAGGAATTACAACAGTTTGCATATGTGCCTCCCACTTGTTAAGGGACCAAAAGTATTGGGACAATTGGCTTCTCAGCTGTTCCATGGCCAGGTGTGTGTTATTCTCTCATTATCCCAATTACAATGAGCAGATAAAAGGTCCAGAGTTCATTTCAAGTGTGCTATTTGCATTTGGAATCTGTTGCTGTCAACTCTCAAGATGAGATCCAAAGAGCTGTCACTATCAGCGAAGCAAGCCATCATTAGGCTGAAAAAACAAAACAAACCCATCAGAGAGATAGCAAAAACATTAGGCGTGGCCAAAAACAACTGTTTGGAACATTCTTAAAAAGAAGGAACGCACCGGTGAGCTCAGCAACACCAAAAGACCCGGAAGACCACGGAAAACAACTGTGGTGGATGACCGAAGAATTCTTTCCCTGGTGAAGAAAACACCCTTCACAACAGTTGGCCAGATCAAGAACACTCTCCAGGAGGTAGGTGTATGTGTGTCAAAGTCAACAATCAAGAGAAGACTTCACCAGAGTGAATACAGAGGGTTCACCACAAGATGTAAACCATTGGTGAGCCTCAAAAACAGGAAGGCCAGATTAGAGTTTGCCAAACGACATCTAAAAAAGCCTTCACAGTTCTGGAACAACATCCTATGGACAGATGAGACCAAGATCAACTTGTACCAGAGTGATGGGAAGAGAAGAGTATGGAGAAGGAAAGGAACTGCTCATGATCCTAAGCATACCACCTCATCATGTGAAGCATGGTGGTGGTAGTGTCATGGCGTGGGCATGTATGGCTGCCAATGGAACTGGTTCTCTTGTATTTATTGATGATGTGACTGCTGACAAAAGCAGCCGGATGAATTCTGAAGTGTTTTCGGGAATATTATCTGCTCATATTCAGCCAAATGCTTCAGAACTCATTGGACGCTTCACAGTGCAGATGGACAATGACCCAAAGCAGACTGCAAAAGCAACCAAAGAGTTTTTTAAGGGATAGAAGTGGAATGTTATGCAATGGCCAAGTCAATCACCTGACCTGAATCCGATTGAGCATGTATTTCACTTGCTGAAGACAAAACTGAAGGGAAAATGCCCCAAGAACAAGCAGGAACTGAAGACAGTTGCAGTAGAGGCCTGGCAGAGCATCACCAGGGATGAAACCCAGTGCCTGGTGATGTCTATGCGTTCCAGACTTCAGGCTGTAATTGACTGCAAAGGATTTGCAACCAAGTATTAAAAAGTGAAAGTTTGATTTATGAGATTATTATTCTGTCCCATTACTTTTGGTCCCTTAACAAGTGGGAAGCACATATGCAAACTGTTGTAATTCCTACACCGTTCACCTGATTTGGATGTAAATACCCTCAAATCAAAGCTGACAGTCTGCAGTTAAAGCACATCCTGTTTGTTTCATTTCAAATCCATTGTGGTGGTGTATAGAGCCAAAAATGTTAGAATTGTGTCAATGTCCCAATATTTATGGACCTGACTGTATGTCTGGTTTTTATGTAAGTCTCTCATATTCCAAGATATGAGACATAGGGGAAAAATGGATTTTAACAAAGGTTATCTGGTCGTGTTTCCTGGGAATGTTCTTTGAACTCCTGGGAAAGCTTGCCTTATCTTATACGAGGTGTTACATTGCACAGGTTCTTTGGACAGCAAGGCCCCAGCTCCCTTGGAGATTTTATAGCACGTAGCCCCCTGCTGGGCTCTGGCCTCCTGTGACACTCCTACCACACACACACACACTGGCCAAATGTCACTGTGCCTCTCAGAGAGGGAAGAATGAGGGAATAACATGGGTACTCTTAACAAAATGGAGGCTGTGTCCTTCACTGTGTGTACGCTGGTTACAATCTTCATCACGTCTAGGAGCCTAAATGCACTGATTTGCTGCCATGTGATTGGCTGATTAGCGATTTGTGTTACCAAGCAATTGATATATAAATATCTGGTAGAGAGGAGCTGGGTCAGGGTTTGGAGTGACAGAAATTGGGCGAGGAGGGCAAAGGTCCGCTTAAATTGTACGCTTTTGGTGTTCTTTGATAGCCTCAACGTTGCAGTGATGTCCTTCCTAACCAAATGTTTTTGATTGCACTAGAACTGCTCTTGAAAACTGTTGGTCTCCTCAACCCTCGAATTTAATTTGCAAAAAATGTGAGCAGGTTCTTAGTTAGATTAATGGCAGTTAGTCACACAGTCATGACGAGGGGACAGGGTCAGTAATTGATTGCTCAGCAACGTGAAAAGGGATTGCCTGTGCAGCAAAGCTTGAATTTTATTAATAGCAGGTCAATGACTCAAATTATTGTCAAAGACATAATTAACTTATTAGTTCACCGTATAGTTATTAGGAAACTGGAAAGATCCTTTGACGAAACTGATAGTGACAGCATAGTCTGTGGGAGATCGGAGAGCAGTCAGTTACCTCTAGTTTGTAATACAGATAGCAATTGAATGATTGTAAAGTCAAAAATATTTTGTTAACTGCTTCCCGTCCACTCTATATCAGAACTACTGCTACAGGGCGGCAGGGCTGCTCAAAATCACGTATATATATATATATATATATATATATATATACGTGATTTTGTATTTCCGGGTAGGGGGGCACGCGCCGCCCTACCCACGCCACCTTTGGTGGATACAGCTGTCGATCACCAGG